CCCGGGCTTCTCTCCACGCCGTATACACACCATGTGTGCATGTGCGTGTGCACACACTCATACAAACTGTTTCCTGTATCCACTAACACACACATAATCTTGAATTACGCATACGTGTCCGCGTGGGTAGGGTTTCACAGCATGGCGTGTAGTAGGCAGTGTACACACACACACACACACACACACACAGTGTTCTCTCAGATTTCAGAAGTTTGTCATTTATATTGACAATATGCTACTACATTAACCAAATGTGAAATGCACAAATCCACGTCAAGGGGGGAAAATTCCCAAACCAGAAAACCACCATCCCCATCCCCTGGCCTCTAATCAAGTGAGGAAGACACTGGCCCAGGCCCGCTGGCCGGCCTTCGGGTCTGCCCCTCAGCAACTCTGCTGTGCTCTCAGCTGCTCGACAGGGAAATGGCTTCGGGTACGGCCACCGTTTTACTTTCTCTCCGGAGATGAACTTCTCAAGAGGTCAACGTGACACACGCACACTTTTATTTACGGACCCTGGGGGCTCATCCCGTGAAATTGGGACGAGAGCCTACTGCGCTGCCATGCTCCTGAATTCTGGAGGGCGTGCGGTTTTGCAAAATGTAGCACTTTAATTAGAACACCGATGGATTACACAAACCAGCATGGTGGAGTCTGTAAAACTCCTGCCTCTCGCCACCACCATGAAACAAAAGGGGAAGAAAACATAACCATTTAGCTCAATAAAATGCTTTAGGCATCAGCTCTGGTGGACTTTTAGATTGGAAAAGGAATTTTTTTTTGCATGTAAAAAAGAGATAAACATGTACATTTTGGGGAAATTTTGAAATCGGATACATTATATCAAACCAGAACTGCAGAGGACTTTAAAATGTGACATCATTATTTCTATCTGGGTATAGTTATTTTTTAACATGTCCTGCATATTCTATGATGTAAGCAGGTAATCTTCCTGTCTGAAATATTTGTCATTGTTTAAATTTCAAACCACATACCAAATAATCTGATTTGTCACTGAAACAATTCTGACACATTTAATACAAATGATACTTCAATTGTTACTTTCAAAATCCCATGTAAAAGATTAGACCAATTAACCTCATCGGTGGAACATCTTGAAACAAAGAAACAAATTCAAGAGGCTCTAACCATTTCCTGCAGGGTTCTCTCTCCTCTCAACTGATAACCAAAGTGAGCTAATCCTTAAAATCATTTAAATTTCGATCAATGTTTAAATAACACGCATATTAAATATTTTTAATTTTCATATACATTGTTTACAGAAGTTTACCAGTAAGGAGATTTTTCTTCAACATCAGTCTGTCTCTCCAAGTTTAAAACAAGGTACCTCAAAACTGAAATACACGGTTGAGGGCAAGGTGGGGAGTCACCAGTATGCAGCCGGGGCCAGCGCAGTGCCTGAACGCCTGAATTTGCTCTGGTGGCTGCAGCCGGAGAGAAAGCCTGGGGACAGCACCTGAAAACTGTGCCTGAGCAGACCTTATGGGATCCTGACATTTTTCACTCTCTAGATGCTGTACTCTGTGCCTCCAAATTAGAAAACAAAAACAATCACACCTTCCAGATTCCTTAAGAAACACCAAGGCCCCGTGACATGTTTTGAAAGCATTTCAAATCTAGTCGCAAGTAACCTGATGCTTTATTACCGAGGGGTTCCCACCTGGGAGCCAAGCCGGCAGCCAGCAAGAGCACTAACTTTTCATCCCGGGATGATTCTGCTTTGCAGAAAGCAAGTTCCAACTCGGTCTGATTGTTTTACAGTGCAAGCAAAAGCTCTCAGCTAAACTGTCAGAAAGCTCTGTACGAACGACTTTCTCCATAAAGGCTGACCTCCTGGTCTCACCGTGTAAGTATGTATCAATTTAGATGCGACTGGAGCTAGCAAGTCCTCATGGTGACAGAGGGCGGCTCCCAGGCGCCCCTCGGCACCTGCACTCACAGCACCCATTTGCCGAGGCTCCGCCAAAGTCAGCGCGCTCCTTGTCGCCGGAAGGAGAGGCGGATCAGACCGAAACCAGCGGTTGCTGCCATGTCTCCTCTTTCCTTCCTCGTTTCTCTTTTTCTTTTTTTTTTTAATTTTCTTTTTTATTTTTCACTCCGCCGGCTCCCCCAAGTTTGCCTTTTGAAATTCAATTGAAAACACTCACGTGGATTTGCGCGCCGC